TCCATGCATTTATATAAGAAGGATGCAGGGTTCTATGGCGGCCATGGAATTGTTGGGGCTCAGATTCCTCTGGGATGCGGCTTGGCTTTCGCTCAGAAGTACGCCAAGGATGGGGCTGTGACATTTGCCCTATACGGCGACGGTGCGGCAAATCAGGGCCAGTTGTTCGAGGCCCTCAATATATCTGCGCTTTGGGATTTGCCGGTCATTTTGGTCTGTGAGAATAATCATTGTAAGTAGTGGAGAACTTTCGTCGAGTTGTGAGAATAACTGCATGCTCCTATACCAATTCCGTTGTATTTAGAACAGTGGTATTCTGTAAGTGTTTGTAAGTATTACAATATGCTAAAAGAATAATATGAATTGGGCTATTTAACATTTTATTTAAAGCTTAATGAATACACATATGTTGATTGGTGAGCTTTATTAATTATCTTTTATTGCTACAGATGGTATGGGAACTGCAGAGTGGAGAGCAGCAAAGAATCCAGCTTATTATAAGCGTGGGGACTACGTTCCAGGACTAAAGGTAGAGTTGATTCTGAGTGTTGGAGAATTCTAATGTGCTTATGGTCTCTTTATTTTTTCTGTCTTGTGGGATTATTGCGCATTAATTGAATAAGTTAATTGACAGTTGTTCTTGAATTAGTTACACCTTTCAGAGACAAATACTAGAGTTGACTTCTGCTTGCAGACTATGTCTTCTCTAGATAATTTTGCGGCATGGCTGTTTTGTGCAGTGTTCAAGCTTCACTTGTTTGGTTTGTGTATAGTTTATTTTCCCCTCCTTTAAACAGGTAACAGTTTCTTAAATTTTTTGTTACAGGTAGATGGGATGGATGTCCTTGCTGTCAAACAAGCTTGCAAGTTTGCTAAAGAGCATGCCTTAAAGAATGGACCCATTGTGAGTTCATTTGTCTCGTTTTTACTATGAATCGATTTAACGAATGTAACCAATATGCAATGCATGTCATGTGGAAATGATACCAAACATGTCTATTTAGGGATGTGTTTCATTTGTTCCAAAACCCTGTGTGCTTTTTAGGTTCTTCATGAAATCTTTTCTGTTTTTGTTACTTTTTTTTTTCATTTTAGAATGATAGAGATGATGAGTTGCATTCTTCCTCTTCTGAGTTATTCTGGTCTGTGCATTTCACTGTTAACAGATTTATGCAATCTCCATCTGCCCCATCCATCATCAATCTTGTCAAACATTTAAAGATATTAGGTCAATTTTGGAAAAATAAGGTTATATATTAAGATTTTGTCGTCATGAATCTCAAAGTACTAAACTAATTATTTGCTAATCATTCACAAGCTGAATCACAGTTAATTATGTAATTTTGTTAGACTGCATTTTCAAACAAAGGGTGAATTTGGTATGATTTTAACTTTGTCACAACTAAAAACACTTAGCAAAATTTTCATGGTGTGTAGTTACATAGTCCAAAGGAATTTTGAGAAGTACTCCAAAAAAAATACTTAAATGCCCATTGACAAAGTATTTCCCTTAAAATTAGTACTCTCAAAGGTCTCCTGAACTATGGAGGGTGGGGTACTATGAATTCCCTGGTCTGCTGTAGTTCCGACCCCATGCAGATGGTTTTGAAGGTTTCATTTCAGTCCCAACTAATGTCGTTTCACGTTCTTTCGGAAGTAGTTTTTCATGTATAGAAATCTCACACTTGAAAATAAGATCTTACGAGAGTGGGTGTGTTTTGACGTAAGCTTTATTTGATCTCTGCGGTGATAATAGTTTGTTGGACACTGTTTACTTGGTTCTCCCTCCACTTGAGATTTAGTTTATCTTTTTGTAATTCCATATCAGATTCTCGAGACGGACACTTACCGGTACCATGGTCACTCAATGTCTGATCCTGGAAGCACCTACCGGACGCGTGATGAGATTTCTGGCGTGAGACAGGTTTGTTTCTTCATCCTCTTATTCATCTTCTGAATCGAAATTGTCACAGCTTGATAGCTACTTTGCTCTGAATAAATTTCTGGCTACCTTCCAGGAGCGTGATGCTGTTGAAAGAATTAGAAAACTGTTATTATCCCATGAGATAGCAACAGAGAAGGATCTGAAGGTATCTCAATAGCTTCTCAATAATGCCTTCAAGTCTTAAATTTAGTACCAGAAAGGTGAAAAAAGGGTAGAATGAGAAAGAACATATCTTAGTTTATTTTGGATCATCAGGATATTGAGAAGGAAGTGAGGAAAGAAGTAGATGAAGCCATTGCTCAAGCCAAGGTGAGATGGTGCAACTTTTTGTCCAGCAAGCTTAGGAATTTAGAACAACTATGTAATCAACACCGTTGACATTAACGATACTGCTTTGTTCATGGCTATCTCGTTCGACATTCGTGTTTTCAGGAAAGTCCGATGCCAGATCCTTCGGAACTATTCTCGCACGTGTATGCAAAAGGGTTTGGAGCTGAGGTAAAGTATTCCATCTCCTATCAATGTCATTGGAATGGATTGTACATACCTCGATAGCTTTATCGTGTGTTTTTACAGGCGTTCGGAGCAGATCGAAAAGAAGTGAGGGGTGTTCTTCCATAAGTAAGCAGACAAGATATGGCATTGTATAGATAAGTCTCTTTACACATACACAGTATATCACTCTTTTTCCCTTGGAAACTACTCTTTCGTAGTATTTGGCTTGGATCCGTTTGAAAGCACAAGTTCTGTATATTTAAGGTGTCTGAATATATTAAATATTTCATTGATCAATTACTTGTGATTAATTAAGTCTACCCATTTTGTAGCTATATAGTTAAATTACTTTCTTTCTATATGGTTAAGAAAACCATAAGAACCCCGAATAAACTTAAAATAATGTGGCAGTTAAATTGCTGATTTGAAAAAATAAATTAATTTAATATTATATTTGTTGGGTTTTATTTTCTTCTTCTCTTCCTTTCTCCTTCTCCGGCGAATGCTGTTGCTGCTGTCGCGGATTATTCTTATCCTCGCCCACCGTCGCTCCGTTCATGTGAAACCGAGTGATGTGATGTGATGGATTCAAGGAATTTTATGAGCGATTCCATTAATTTCGTTGTCCGGCAAAGATCTGAAAATTCTTGAGGTCAAATCGGATAAAGGAATTAGTCGAATTCGATCCAGAAGGTAAAATTCCACCAAAATTCAACCTCAATTTCAACCTAATCGACTCATCTCGTGGAAATTTTCAGTATCTTGCTGATAAATTGGCAAATCTCCTTTTTGCCAAATAATTCAAACCCCCCTTTTGGCAAATATTTATCCAACAAATCCATGTTTATAAATTTACCATGAAATACAGCGCCCGTCGAACAAAAACATTTACGTTTCTTCTTCCCTGAAAATTGCCCCCTTCTATGGTGGATTTTTCGGCAATGTGCGGCGGCGATACTTCCCATGGCGGCTTCTTTCTTATTTATGGATTACGGCTTTCTTCATCTGGGTCGTGTTTTGGCACCACCGCCACCAAGCCTACGCCGCCAGACTATTCCCGGAAAACCAAAATCCGGAGCAATTCGGCACCGCGGCGGGGGATGCAGATGCTAGCAAGGAGAAGCTCCTCCGAAAGTAGTCCAATGAAAGAAATTTCAGTTCGAGAGTGTTCCAAGACGACAAACGCAGTTCCCAGCTGCCCCGGTCCCCTCCACAACTAAACCGGATCTGGAACGAAGGAGAGAGGTAGGAGCTCTTCCTCTCTCCGGCGAGAGTTTACGGTGTGACGGCGGGCAGTGGGCCAGGATAAATTTCATTGCCGGCAGCAGCGACAACTTCGGCCGGAGATGGTGAAGGAAAGGGGTAGAGGAGGAATTTAGAACCCACAAATATAATATAAAACTAAATTAAAAATATAATTTTTCTTAATCTTGTTACTTCTTTTTAATCACTCTTACTTTTTGTCAAACTTCCATATGCAAAAATCGTTACGAAATATTCTCATTTGCATTTATTAGTTTACCAGCAAAAACACAAAACAAAATTGTAGACTTATTATCTTTTATTTTGAAATGGGTGATTTTTTAGAGATTTATTCCATAGTCATACATTGATATGTTAAGAGTTTGATCCTTCAAAAATAAAAAATATATATATATGTTAAGAGTTTTATCTCCATTCACATTAGTTGATTTTGAGAAATCCTTACCATGCTTCACAAAGGCCTCATCAATGTAATACTTATCATAATCTAAAGTTTATAGCGATAACATAGAAAGTTAGTTAAAATTGACTAATATTATAAAGTTCAAGAATAAAGATGGATTATTTTTTTAAGGTTAAATTACAAAACTTTTAAGGTTGCATCTCTGTGATAAGTTCTTGAACTTTCACAATCAAGTATATTTAACCCTTAGATTTTAAAAAGTTTCTAACAAGTTCATTGACTTTAAATTCTATTTACAATAGTTTTTTTTTTTCTAAGCATAACAAATGAGGTGAGGGATTCGAAATCATGACTTCTTAGTCAGAGACAGATGTCAATTACCGATAAGTTCATATTGACCTATTTACAATAGATTCATATAGAAATCTAATTAATTTCGTGAGTACCGTTATCCTGTTATACAAGCATTAGACAAACTAAGTAAATGTAGAGCCCTATTAAATACAAATATCTAAATTAAAAGTTTTTAAAATTATGTGCAATTTTAATGAGTGTAGCCTTTTTAATTTGTGTCGTAATTAGCAGAACCGACCGGCCACCAGAAAGGCCTGCAAGAACAGAATCGTTGGGCGGGCGGTGGGTTCACAGATTCTCTGCTCCTTGTGACTCTCAACCGTCGTGGCGCGTAAATAATTATTTTAAAAAATAAAATAAACCCTTTCTTTTTTCTTTTTTTTAAATTTTAAAAGTTCAACGGCCGGATCACTTTCTAAACTCGTGTGTTTGTTTTTGGTGCCTTGCTGTCATTTGTCATGGTATCCTATGCACTTCCACTTACTTTTAACTTTATGTCCATTCCCATTTTATCCTTTTCATTTATTCTTCGCCATTTTTCCAACCATATTACATACCATCAATTCCATAGTTGAAATTTTAACTTTTATTCAAATGGGTCATATTTTTATCCTCTACACGTTTAAAGACATCTTACTATTTTTTAGAGGTTCAATATATATTGTATTAAAAAAATTTATATTAATTTGAGGACCAACGTGTAGGTTATTATCTATATACTATCTATTAATTAAATCTTTAAAATTAAATTAACTCTGGCAAACTTTATTCTTGGTATAAATAGACTATATATAGGAGGTAGTTACAAGAAAATAATACAATTGAATTATGAAATTAATTATCTAATATTATCTTTGGTTTTTTTTTAAGAGTGAGAGATCGGACCATTAATGGATAAAGATATGTACTATCCTCCTTGATTTTGATTTCTTTTTTTATTGCAAGGATGGGAGATTGAACTACCGATCTTTGAAATGACAGCATATATTTTACCCACTGAAATATGTTTAAATTAACCATTTTAAATTAATACCTTGTGGTATAACATATATTTAATTATCATTAAATTCTAAAATTTTAATTTCATGGGTTATAGCATATTTAATGGGTTCAACATTTACTTTGTCACATGCATTTATTCTTAAAGAGATAATTCAATTATCAGTTCATCATTTCAGGTATACCAATAAAGAAGTCATTGAATTTAATTTACAAACATGAATTAAAGGGAAAAAAGAAAGGCCAATCCACTTAGAGGCTTCTTTTGTCTTTTGCTTTTTTTTTTTTTCCCGCAAAAGGCACTTGGATGTTTCTTAAGACTGAAAATGCACCATTTGACCTATCAAATTATATGCCATTTCTGATGATGACCTCATTAATAAATTTTCATTTATTTAAGATTTTTATTTCATATTCATATTTTGATGTGTCTATTGTCTTCCCCAACCCAACTAAAAAAGGAACCAAATTCAACCTTAAAAAAGTTTATTGGAAAAAGCGAATAAACAATGCGATGGAGAAGGAGAAGACGATGATCTTGGAAGGTTGTTTGCCAGATCCTTTAGTTGATTTTATTTTATTTTACCTCTTTTCTAAAAAAATAAATTCAATTTTTTCGTACGAAAATTTAAAATTTTAAGCATGTAAGTCATTTAAATAAATACAAAATGAAGTTAAAAAGTATCTACAAAATGGTTTCCGACTCGACCAAACCTAACATACTCTAAATTTAATAATACTCATCTATTAGAAATTTTTTTGCTGATAAGAAAAAAAAAAATCTTCCTTTCTTTATCATTTATGCATTATTCATCTCTTTGACTTGTGATATATAATATTAATTAGTATTCTTCATTCATACTAACCGTCTCTAACTAACCACTGCCTATCTTCTTCTTGCACATATTAATATCCATGATCCCAGAAATTAACATCCTCAATTTTATTTTATTTCTTCGATGAAACCTACTTACAGATGATATAATTGATGTTTTAGGGTGGGGTGAATTTATTATAAAAAAAAAAAAAAAACCTTAAGCTATRAGATAATCTTCTCACAAAATCAACTTTTGGAGGTCTTTCCTTAAATGATGCTGTTTTGGGGGAGAAATCAGGTAGCCACGTGGAAGATGATCATTTGTTATTAGGGAACGACCCTAAGTACATTTTGTGCAGTTCTGCCTCGGAATCATCCGAGGTGGGTGACAACCATTTTCTCCAAGGAACAAATTATCATCACGAGTAAGTGTCTGAGTTCAATCTGCTCGAACTCGATGTGTCCAACCTCATATCCAACCTGGGTAACCGCTTGTCGAAATCCCTATCGGAACTTAATACCCATAAATAGAGAGCTTCATTTCACCATCAGGTATGAAATTTCTCGCAAGCTACCCACTTGAGAAGCTAGTCGCCAGAAAGAAAAGAAGCGACGAGGAAGCGAAGCTGTCGTAGAAGCTTTGCTTCCCCCTGTAGTCGTAGTACTCGGTTCGTTGCTACTTTGATTCAAAAAGTCACCGACGGTTCCCGACTTTCTCCGRTTTCCGCAACCGTAATCATTTGTCACTCCGATTACTTCATCCATCAACCTTTTTTTATTACTAGTGGATTAGCACGTGCATTGCACGAGTTTATTTTTCTTTATTTTTTATGTTTTTTTTAAACTAACTTATTTATTATTTTGAGTTTTAATTAACAATTGATTTAAAGTATAAATTAATTATAATCATTCAAAATTGTTTTTAATAATACGTGTAATTTATTTTGATATTTATGTCTAGTAACCTTTCAAAAATCAAAAATAAAAGATAATATTTAATAGTAAAATGGATTAAATATATATATATATACACACGGTATCAAAACATACAAATATGAATTAAATTATAATACATTTTGTATTCTATTAAACATTTAAATTATTTTATGTATTTATTATTTGAATTTAAAAGTTTTTTAATCATTTTATGGTATCTAGAAAAAATCATTATTACTGTATTTTTTTAATTGAAATTTTTTATTTCATTTTTGAAGATAAATATAATTTGTTTATATGAAAGCTTATTTATATATAAAAACGTTGTGTATTTTATTTTTAATTAAATTATATTAATTTTTGTAGTAACTATTTAATAGTTACTATAAAATTATGGTTGATACTATTTTTTGCCATAAATTTAAGATAAAATTAATCAATAATTATTTTATATTCAAACATGCATGAGTTTAAACATAAATAGCAAATGAGGGGAATCATTTTCGTGAGATATATGATTACCTCTTGCAAATATATGAACTATGATG